GTAAGACCAGTACAAGATGGAATGAACAGATTATAACCTTTCTCTGTTACTAAGTTGTTTGGCACACTGAAGTTATTTTCTAAAAAATAGCAGCCACTTCCCTGCTGGCACTGCTCACTTCCCTGACTCTCAGCTGTAGGATGCCCCAGCTCTTGAGCTGTGGGATGCTGGCTGACCATCACGCTCCTCTCTCCTGCAAGGGGCCAAGCACCCCAGAGCCCAGCTGCCACCCACAGGTGGTTGTAAAGATCCACCCACTCTGTTCCATACAGGGTGTTCAGCAGCAGCAGCAGTGTTAAACACTAAGGGAAGGGCAGAAGTGCTGTGCCTGATCTTGACTGATGAACTGCTTTAAACATTCCAGCTGTAACTCTTGTCTTCAGTGAGGCCTCACAGCCACTACCACACTTACACTCATTCCCCATTTTGGAAGAAACTGGTGTGCTGGATAATTAAGAATTACAAAGCCACAATTGTGTTTTGTCATGTCCCTGAATATGCTAGTTTCTGCATAGGTGATTTGCTGGCACAGGCTGGATTTCAGTTTTTCAGATTGCTTCAAGAATGCCAAATACAGCCTTTTTTTTTTTTTTTTTTTTTTTTTTTCCCAAAACAAGATCAAGCTGCTGGTATTTATATAATCTGGTTTGGTCTCTTTGGATGGTGTTCCCACCACCACCTGAGGCTTCTCCTCTACAGCTCTGCTTTTTCCCTTGGGCTGATCAAGTACCATGAGTTTCCCCAGTTCAGTCAATTCTCTAAATCCCATGTCTACACCACCTGCAGGGCAGGCCTAGAGATCCTGTCACCAGTTTACAAATTTCTCCTGCAAAAGCTGTAACAAAATGCCCATGAACCTGGCAGGCATCACAGCAGCCCCTGCTGCAGGTTGAAGTGTTGTGACACTGGAGATGAAAGGGCTCTGTCACTCATCCTGGAGCTGAAACCTGAACTTGACAACCTGCATGACCTTGTCTGGAGAAGCTAAGGAGAGGCTGCTGTACAAAAACGCAGGGATGCTCCTTGCGAGACATTTCCAAGCAGGACAAAGTGTCACTTGGGCTACTCTGGGCAGCATCCTCCAGCCTCGCAGGATCTTTGAGCTCATTCTGTGCTGAAGAAAGGGAAGGGACATTTAGAGATTTGGTGTCCTGGTGCATAATGTGCCCCCTGTGCTGCAATTGGAAAGAAAAAGCTGGCACAGAACTGGGCCCGTTATGAGCACATGCACGAAACACCACCATCATCCTGCTCCTCAGTGTCACAGCAGAGGACCTGTGTTCAGTAACCTCAGCACCTACTCCTGGCGTGGCAGAGCCAGCAGCACAGGAGTTGGAAAAGGTTGAAGCTGCCTCCACCAGCCAGCTTTGTCACACACCCTGTTTCACTCAGCCTTCCCAGCACCCTGCATTTCCCTGCCCATCCCTGGGGACATGTCCAACCCACAAGTCTCTTCAAGGAGAGGCTGGGAGAAGCTTCACGCTGAGGAAGACTTGCATAAATCCAACTTGTAGGAGACCCAGATCAGTCCTCCCTAGGGCGCTGCAGGGCAGGACAGGGGTGGCTCAAGGAGCAGGAGTGTCCCAGTCCCAGCACAGCCACCAGTCAGGTGCTGGGACACAGCTGAGCACTCGGTGGCAGTGGTGCAGAAGATGCTCTGGTGCCACTCCATCTGATGGTCTCTATAGCAACAGTCAGGCTTTTTCTTTCCCAGCTGAACTGCCAGGAGCAGCAGGTAGATATGACAGAAATTCAACGCTGCTATTAATTTACATGAGCTGGGTGAAGCATAAGCAAGAGGAGTGTGGGGAATAAGGAGCTGGCAATGTTCTCCAGACAGGTTCCTTACACCAGCCAGGCTCACCTTACAGAGATCCCCAACTGCATCCTGGAACCAGAGCTGCAGCAGAGGTTTGGGTGACTCAAGATTCCAACCCTCAGGAAGTGGCCTGAAAGGGGGAGAATAGCATTGGGGTCTGGCCAGGGTGCCTGGGAGAAGGAATTTTTGGGTTTCATCCAGCTCTACAAAACTTTCAGGCATGCACAAACCTGGATTTTAACTTATGTTTTACCAATTTCAGTAATAGAAAGTCCATTTTCCCTAGTGGGGGGAAAAAAGTGAACTGAATTCAGTGACGGAACTGCCTGTCTCAGGCAGTGTTTTGCTACCTGCTCTCCCACTGCAGCCACCTGCAGCAGTTATTGGAGACTCTGGCACGAGTCGCATGTTTGCAGAATGCCTATAAGCACAGAGCTGCTGCGGCTCAAACCCAGTTAAACATTTTGGGTGTTTTGGGTGGTGCAGACCATGGTGGTGATCCTCAATATTGGGCTGCCCCCAGTGCTCTGCCCCAGTCTCATCATGGTCATGATGGCAAGGAGCAGCAGATGCTCCAGGAACTGCAGAGAGGGATGATGTTGTTTGTTCGTTTATTTAATACCTGATTAAATGATCTTCCCTTGGTTCCTCTGCGACAAAGTGATTTAATTAATGCTGAAACTGCGCACACGGGATGCAGCAAAGCTGTTCGCGGTTGGCATGGGCTACATCTATAGAACTATTTTGGAAAAAGGAAAACGTCAGCATGATAAAAATGGAAAGTGTTAGCGTGCCATGTGCTGCCAGGAAATGGGGCTGGTACCCTATTCTAAACCTGGATCACATTTTTAATGAAAGTTAACTTGTTCACCCCACCTTTTACCATTTAAAACTAATTTAATGGAGAACCCGCCCCCAGCTGAGGGCCAGCAAGTGCTGCCGTAGGAGGCAGGTAGGCTTCCACTCACTAACTCCTCAGTGCACATCAACTATGGAAAGCCAAGCGACAGCAGAACTTCAGTCAGACCACGACAAAAACTGGGAAGAAACTCTCAGATGGCTGCAGGTTTAGGACATTGCCCTCTGCAGTCACCTCTGCAGCGAGGTGGCTCAGCTGTGAGACTCAGGGTGTCTGCACTTAATCGATTGCTTACCCACCTGGCCAGGGCCATCTGCAGCCTGGCTGCTTCCAAATCTACACACTGCTGGAGGCACAGACGCAAAGACCACTGGTGAATTTAGAGGAAAGACCCAGGATGAACTACAAGGAGAAGCAAAGCTGCTGGCCAGCCGTCAAGTAATAGCACGGAGGAGAGAGGGACAAGGAAGGACACCACTGTTTCAATTGGCAATCAAGCTGCTTCATGCCTTACAGACCAGGCACCACTCTTTCATGGCCAGCATTCACAGGCACGATTGAATTCACTCTCTCCTGCCCTGCAGGACAGCATTTTTAACCGTACAACTCTCCTACAACTCTTCAGACAGACCTTTACCGACAGGTAAGTACCAATCTGCAATTCCAGCAACATCCTCACCAGGGCAAAATCCTCACTGCTGCGGAGGTGACTGAGAAATCTCCTGTGTCTGACCAGCGGCAGGACCGCGCCCCATCCCCTTCCCTCGCAGGGCAGACCGTGACCATTCCCGGCCATTCAGGCTCGTCCGAAGCGGCTGCTGCAGCAGGGCAAGCGCAGTCCCCAGCCTGGATCCTCCGGCAGCTGCCGGGGAGAGCTGCCGCCCCTTTCCAGCCCAGCCCTGCTGGCTGCTAGCGGCAGGTGCGAGCCTGCATGTCCAGCATGAGCTGCCAAACGCGACCCGCCAGAGCCAGACCAGGCCACCTTGAGCAACACTACAATCAACAGTGAGAGGGAGCCCAGAGCTTTCCTTGGAGCAGAAACTCTATTTTCATATTTCTGTTTTTAAACCTGGTGCTAAGGTACACTTCATCCTGCCCAATTCCCCCTCTGCAAGGCATCCACCAGAGAACTTCAACACTGACTAGAAAAGCCAAAAAACATCCTAGGCAGCCAGGGCGCCACTAGACAAAATCCTCGGGAACATTTTGTGGTGGTACTAAGGAAATACTTGCACAAAAGGGTTTTACTACCTTTAACTGTTGGTACCTGAAGCAAGCACAGTCCTAACGAAAGCTGCTCCAAGCAGCAGCTACTGCAGACACACTTGTAGACATAAAACTCAGGGAGGCCACTGTGCCTTCGTCCCTTGAGCAGCAGGAACATCTCTAAGCCCCCACATGGGTCATGCAGGGAGAGGGAGGCTGCAGAAACAATTTAAAATAATAACTCAAGTGCTGAGCAAGACAGTCCCAAGACCCCAGTGCTGGCCTATGTGTGCAAATCAGACCCTGAAACTCCACAGCTTTGTATTTTATGTTCCTGTTGGCATCCTAAATCTAAACCTCGTCTTCCAAGAGCTGAGCCAGGGTCTTGTTTCAGCTGGTGATGTGCTGGTGTGCCAGTCAGAGGCAGGGGAGGTTTCCTTCTCAACAGCCCCTGTCTCTGCAAGGGTTTCAGCAGGAGCCTGGCCACGACCCACTGCCCACCCTACCCACCTGCAGCCCTGAGGTGTGGGGGATGTGGCTCCCAACCCTGCCAGGATAAAGAGTCCAGGGCACACAGCCCCTCCTTCCTCAGCCAAGCTGGAGGGCTGCTGGAGGCACAGCAGCAGCTCCAAGGCAGGTCCCAGGTCTGTGGGATGCTTGTAGAGCCCAGGGGCAGCTTCTTCCTTGGGCAGTTATCACCCCATGATTTTGGGCACATACCGGAGGTTTTGGCAGCTGCTGCTTCAGATCCAAGTCCTCTGAGGGATCTACTGGCACAGTTCCCAGTGCAGGAGGCCATTGTGCAAGAAGGCACTGCCAGGAACACAAAGCTCACTCATACCAAGGTTTAGTATATTTCCAGGGCTGCTAGCTGGATTTGAGAATACTTCGGGTATCTCCTCAGTGAGAAGTTCCTTAATTAACAGCTGTCTTTTCCTTCAAGAGTAATCCATTCTTTGTAACTAAAGTCTCTCATTGGCTTACCTGGTCACGGCACCAGATATTCACCTGGAAACTCCACTTTGGATTGGTGCTACAAAATGAAGTAAAACTTCTCAGAAGTGAAAGAAAATCCCCTAACATCACTGATCATCAAATGAATAGTGATTCTTTGGATGAATGTTAAAACCCATTTATTCAGGCTTTTGTGCAGGGTGCACAGTCCAGCAATTACGTATACACAGTATGCACATCCTGACAGCATACAAAAAGGAAAGGAGCAACAGGTGTTTACACTGGGAATGTATATACAGACGTATTAAACTGGGATTTTTACATTAGAAAATTATCTGACACTGTTCAGGTATCATCAAGGCTATTAGAAATTGTGTAGAAAACCAATAAAACTTGGAAAGTATCTACTGTCATTTTACTTTACCCAGGCTGGATATAAGTCAGGCTTCCCACACTATATCACTTGTGGACAAAGCCTACAGGATGCCTCAAGCACTTTGGAGGGTCACATTACTCTAGCACATCCCATTACAAGTTAAAGAATAACACATTAGTATTATTTCCTGTTTTCCTGGAAAGAACAACAGCTTAAATACTTCAAATAGCTAATTTTCTCCCGGGAAAAGACAACAAAGGAAAGATTTAGAGACCATGAGAGAATCAAACACTAATGAAATGTTGTAACAGCACTTCCTGGTCCTTCCAAAAACTCTTCACAGACCAGGAACCTAATTTAAAACACTGTACACTGTCCAGATTTACAGAAGTGCAATAGCAGGCCTTGGCAGACCCCAGGTCTTCTGCAGATCTTTACCTTGCTCCTATCCTAAGGGTTGCAAGAGATCGTACCTTTGTAACCTGCACAGAAAGACACAGAGAGATCAAATAGATTTAGCAAAAGGATACTAAACAATAGACAGAAATATGCAGCAATACTTCACTTACTGTAGCTATTCCATATTTAATTTCTGACTGAACTTTTTTCCTAAGGTGTCAGCAGAATGAGGGAGGATCAGAAACACAGTGATTTCAGAAATACATGATTCCTGTGGCCAAGGCACCCAGGGACACCCAGAACCCATCTTCACAGGCTTTCAGCTTGAAGAGCAGGTCCAACTCTCTAGATACTCTTCTATGCCAAATTTTTGCACATACCAGTCCAGTTTTGGTATAAAATTCTAGCATTACAAAGAACCTAACTGAAAATCCACCCACGGGGTAGTTTTAAAGGACCAATCCACTCTTGCAGGTAACAGAAACCACATGTGAGTGCAACACAGAGTGTGTTAAAACTGCTCCTAAAGATGGCTGAAATAAAATGCCTTGTGCACAAATACACCAAATATAGGACATATTTGTAGAACATTCAATCACAGCCAGTATGATTTCAGACACATTTTCCTTTTAGCACAGCACACATGCTATTTGCTATGTAAACTCTGGCGTTTAGTTCATTCCATTTGCTGTTCTGCATGAGCCTTTTGGAGAAAAAGGTGAGGACAGCATGAAGAATCTCTCTCAAATTTAATTCTCTCCTGAAGTTTAAAGTTCTCTGGTGGAAATCGTTACAATGAGTCAAAACTTACTTGAGTGGAGACATTTCAAAAATTTATATTTTCCATGTAGAGTTTTACAAAAAAGCATTGTTGAAGTGGCTTGAAAATTGCTTTCCTTTTGGAGAATGACCCCCTTAAATATATTATGACTAGGCAAAGGATAACTAGTATTTTATACTCAACCTCCCTATGTAAACCTTCCTTTGTTGTGAACATCTTATTCTGATTGTTTAAAGAAAAAAACACTTCAGCTGTAAGTAGCAATATATCATAATACTCTTCAAAATTAATCAGGAAAAACAGTAAACAACAAAATTCTCTTTGATATTAGTAAGCATGGGGAATAAGCAGCTATTCAAAACAAAGAAGCCTTCAATAGCATTTTTTTTCATTTATGACAGCGTGTAACATGTAGGAACTTCAAAATTCTATACCACAGCCTGTTTCCCTCACAGATTATTTCCTGGCACAGAAAGTAAGAAAGAACTTCCAGGGCTTGACCATAAGCAAACAAGGCATGTGGTTAATAGTGATGCTTCAAAAGTCTGACAGCAATTCCTGGACATGGGTGGGGAGAAGAAACAGGTTTCTGTCAGTGAGTGAAACTGTAGGCTGGGGAAGGCACTACTGAAACCAGTGAAGTGTTTCCTGGTACTAAGAGATCCCCAGGAACAGCTGGCTTTCACAGGTGGCTAAAATCAAACATGCTGACAAGTAGATTTGATTTTAAGATCAAGAACAAAACTGAACCATATTCACTCTGCCTGCTGTGATTTTTTTAAATTGTGTTTTAAACACAGTTTTAAAGGTCACATTTTAAAAACTAAGCTCTAATTCAATATCTAAGTTCCTGTAAGTGGCAACTTGTACATTTCACTTTAACACAGCCATTACAAGGCCTGATGCCACATGCTGTATTAGAAATCTCCAATTTAACCATGCTATCTATAATTTTTTTATATATGTGCATATATATACATACATATAAATCAGAGCTCAGTTAAACATCAAACAAACACCTTTCCCTCAGAAAATAGTTTCTTCCATTAAACTCCAGATTGCAAAGATAATTTCAGTGTCATAGGCAAAACATAATTTTACAAAATAGGTGGAATAAGTCACAACAGAAGTAATTAAGGGAAATATGACTGAAGAATGATTCAATATTTTCTTCTCCAGTGCTCTCAAAATAATCCAGCAAGTGCAAATAAATAAAAAGTCACGTGAGTTTTACCAAAGTACTTTTCTTTCATGAATTTAGTTTGAGAAGTCCACCTTGCCATACCTAGCTGCCTGCCTCCATTTTTCACCTTGAATCTAAGGTCTCATTAGCTAGCTAAGTGCATCATATTTTTTTGCTAGGACTTCAGGCTTAAACTTGCCCCCACAATGTTTTTAAACTAATAACTATGCAACATCTTCCTTCCCTGTCTTAATTTACATTCTCATATTGAAAGAAAGTTATTTAATTGCATTGAAACTGTCAGTGATGTAAACTGAAATCTGTTCTTCAGATTAAATAAAAGGCATGACACATTAGCAAGAAGAAAAAAAAAGAGAACAACAAAACAAAGACAAGCCCAAACCAAGCAGCAAAGCAGCAAAGAGAAGTGAGATGTAAGAACAAGCTCAAAGACTGGGAGAAGCACATGTGATAGGACCATCCCAAAGCATACAGAAGCCACTGCTGGAAAGAAGGCGAATTCCAGAATTTATTTTCACGGCCTTCTGTTAAAATGAACAGAGACAGGTATTTTTTCCCACACCTGCCACTGCTTTTTACAGACAAGTGTCCTGGGGTGACTTTATGATGCTCATATCCCCATTTGTCTATTTAGCCCAGAAATAAGTTTTGCACCTTTAAGACTGGTTCCTAGAGCAAAGCGGGGGAGAGAAGCACACAGTTTCTTTCCAGAAACTGCACTCACTCCTCCACATTCCTGCTCCTGGATTGGGTTGTCTGTGGATGGATGTACAGACAGTGGGACAAAGATCTCCTTTGCTTTTAGTTAGTTTTAGCTAGGTGAGGTAGAGAAGCTCCCTGGACTGTGGGTTTTCTTTTTCTTGGACCTGCTCAAACCTGCTCTGGACTGAACACCCAGAGGAGCACCGGCAGCTCGTACCTGTGGCCCATCAGGCTGGGCTTGGGCTGCAGCACTTCCAGCACCGGAGTAGAGACTGAGTGAGCTGAGCTACAGCCCATGAAGGGGACCTTTCTGAGTTTGTCATCTCTTTGGAGTGGCAAGAGGTTTTATTGTTTAATACTGTTCTTTTTTAGTGTGTGTGCTGGAGAATGCTCTGCCTGTTAAATAAACAGTTTTTTCCACTTTTCTCCAAGGAAAAATTTTCCCAAACCAGTTGAGGGAGGGGCCACTTGAATTTGCTTTCTAGAGGAACACCTTTGGAGGTTTTCTCCCAAATTTGCCCTAAACCAGGACAACAGGGCAGGCTGAAGAACCATGGGATACCTGACTCCTGTTCTCAGGTATCTGTGCTTCTGCTACAGACAAGTTCAGTTTTTACACGAGTGACCTGCAGAGAAGGTTCAAGCCAGACAGGAATATAACAAGAAATAAGCCTTATTTAGGACTCCATGGGAAAAGCCAACTATTTCATGGCTGCTTTTTTTAAATTTTTATTTTTACATCCAGGACACCTGTTGTGCAGGAAAGCAAAGCTGCAGCACCATGCAGTTGTGCTGACAGCTCTGCCGTTTGAGCGGGAATAACCATCCTGCTCCAGTGCTTTCTCCTGCCTAGTCCAGACAGACAGCCAACCTACACAATGAAAGCACAGAATTTCTCTGTCTCCCACATGCTCCCTTGTGCATGTTAGCAGAGCTAGGCTCAAAGCTGAACCCCATGGGTATAAACACCATGTTTCAGATTCTACATTAACATATTTGTTTTATAACATTTTCTCCAGAAAACTACCAGCAATTATTAACTAGTCAATACAATTATTTATGCTATAAGGTGGCATATGCCACGCATGTCTGGTAAGAGAACATGCACACAAAATTAATCCAAAGACTATTTTAAGAAGCAGCAGTAATAGTTCTAAATTTGAAGATGAGTTCACTCGCTTTGCTGAAAACAACACTAAGATCCTAAATGCAAAAGAAGAAAGAGCTGTGTTTCCAAATGGTATGGAAAAGTACAACCGGCACTCAGCAGCAAGACAAATGCCCAAAACATTCTTCACAAGAGATCCAAGAATTCAAAAGGTGAATTAAACTGAAGAAACACTATCAAGGACATGAAACAAACAGTGGAGTTCTGATTAATGGCGTGAAGACTTCTTAAATTTTTTTTAGTTTTCTCAGGTGTGTGAACAAGGTTGCCTGAATCTCAAACACTGAATCTGCTCACTTGGATGTAAATTAATTTGTTCCCAGCAATAAAGGCAGCATCAGGATCGACTCATCTGTCTATTCTGGATGTTATTTCTCATCTTCACTGAAGACTGAAATGGACTTGGCAGAAAAGTTTTGAGCCTCCGTCTCAATGCAAATGAATCTCTTTCTGGCAACACAACTGCAATTACCATATTCACAGGGATTATTAATTAATCAAAAGTGCTATTTGAATAAAAGTGTGGCTCATTGCTATATTTTAAGAAAGCATTTGACACAGTAGTCAACCATTCACCCTAAACTTAGTTTAGCAGAATGTTACTGAAGCCACAGATTAAGAAGTTAAATACTGTATCAAGTTTAAAGAAGAAATTGAGGGTGAATAAAAGGTGTGAAAGCTTAGGCTGTAGGGAGCTGTGGATACAAGATCTCACTGAGCCGAGTGCAGGCAGCTGCAGAGCTGTGGAGCGATTTCTGTTTCACAGGGGCACACATGGGTTTCCTGTTGCTGGAACAAGCAGTGGGGCAGCAGAACCCTGCATGTTCACAGCTCTTGGCCCTGCAGAAACGTACTGGGGCAAAATTACCACACTGCAGAGGAAGTTATAACTATAACACAGCAGCCAGGCTGGGAGCACGTGGCCGTAAGAACTCGAAGACCTTTAAGTGCTGGGCAGAGGTTTTCTAAAAACCTTCAAATAATGGCAACTCCTCCTCTGCAAATAAGGTAGCTTAGAAGCAAACAAAGAAACAAATAAAAAAAAAAAACCAAAAACAAATAAGCAGGAAAAGCAGTGCAATTGTCCTACCTCTGAGCTTGATCTCTTTTCACCTGATCCACTTATCCAGAGCACAGGAAACATTAACTCTTATGCACACGTGCATTAGGAACACTTGCACCAACCAGGCCGCCTCCTTTGATGTGCATTTCCATCACCCCTCGTTTCTTCTGCTGCCTAAAGCCTACTGCTGTGAACAGAAACACTCTTGACATATTATTTACAAAAGCCAATATAAACACCTCATGGAATACCAGCAATTCAAAATGCTTCTGTTTCCTCCTGCTAACTTTGTCGTACCTAAACTATGAGCTATGTGGGCATAATCTGTCTCTTCCTGAGACACTGCTGCAAGTATTGTGGTCCCTTCTGAAGAAATTTGATAGCACGGTGAAAAAGTCTTTTGGGCTTGGTGAGTCCACTTCATTCACACTGAACAAAACATATACATTTGATATGGCAGCAATCTCTTGGGTGGAAGGAAGGAAAAAAAGGCAAAGCAAAGCAAAGCTTCTTTAACAGCACTCCAAAGTGGCACTTTACCAACTCACAATAAAGCGAACACAAGTGACAAACTCCATGAATCAAAACAAAATCAGGCAACTGGCCTATGCTTATGGATCAAGACTCAGCTCAGTGCGATGAATAGTGAAACTTGCTCCAGAAAATTGGCTGCTAAATTTGCTAAACAGTTTATTGGTCACACACCTGCCACAGGGCAATACTGAAAAGGAATCCTCCACACAAGTAAATAAATGAGCCAGTAAGGGAATCTAGTGCACATGTGCATTTGGGGCTTTCTCTCCTCTCTGAGCCCTCTACCATCACACCAGCCCTTCAGCTTTAAGTTGCCCCTTGCTGCTGACTGGGTCCCCAGACTGGGAAAAGGAGCAGCCAGGCAGAACTCTCCAGCCTGCAGACCAATTTTGTGGGGAGGAAAGGACTGTGCTGCTTGGGAACAGAGCAGTGGGACATGGTGCTTGATGTCTTGGGCAGAACAACTTTTTAGATTATACACATGTAGACAGACACGGAAAATGCTTGCATAAAAGTTCCTCTTCAAAAGCTAAAGGTTTTAATTATTTTAATCTCTATATTTTCTTTAAAAATGTAGAGAAAATATTTGTGGTACTTTTTATTCAGAAGTTTGAAATACTTAATTTAGAACAGACCTCCTTTTTCCTCAGAGGTGCTCAAAGCAAGTAATTTGAAAAACCCTAGAGAACACGTTCTAAGAAAAATGCAAAAGCACTATAATGCTTTCCAAACTGGTACAAGTGACAGAAAATGTTGGTTTGGATGTGTACAATGGACTATTTCAAGAAGACAGAATATCTTCTTGTACAACAAGGCATTCTGTTTGATTGTAATAGTCTGTAAATAGTGGCTCTATTTTGCATCTTTTTCTCTCCAACACAAGAGCATATTTTTGAAAAAAATCAATCTTTCGAAGCACTTGCCTCCCCTTTCAACCACACTGTTGGGAAGCTACATACCTATGTAGGAGCTCTCTAACAAGTGAGAAACCTCAGAGCTAAGGTTTCAGCAGGAGGGGCTCCAACAAGAGGGAAGCATCAAGCTAGAAATATGCACATTTACAAGTACTAAGTTTTAATTCCTCATGGCAATTCTGCCCTATGGAGCAACAGATAGGGTACCATGCTTGTACTGAGTGTAAGGCCAAGCAAATTCAAGAGAGAAAAGAATGGCCTGAGAGGCAGGATAATTTATGTGAGAACATTTTAGCAGGTTATTTGTACACCTATTTACATGGACTGTTCCTGTCTTTTTCAAGTGTATTAGAGAAATTAAAAAGCCCATTAACTTGCCATTGTTTAAAACACATGGGGGCCATGCATGTGTTTGACAGCACTGTCTACTATAAGGTACAGTATAAAAAAAAAAAAACAATCAAGGTTTCACAATAATTAAGATATAGACCCATTAAACTAAATTTCACTTAACTTGGGACAGTTGTAGGCAGTGATTGAAAGTTCTTACATTACCCACAGAGCTCTTATATGGCCAAATTACCCTATGTTCTCAAGAGAGCAAATTTGCTGTGATGATTCACATCCTGTTTTGACTCAACAAACACCAGTGCTTCCTCCTAACTGTATGTGGTAATTTCTTAAGCAAAATACCATTCTCCAGGGATACAATTTGATTGTTTTTTAAATTTCATTCTGACCAAAGTGTGAAACAAAAAGATGATCCAGATTTCTACACTGCTCTGGAAAGAGAGACTATTAAACTGTGCTCAATAAAGTTGTCAGAAAAAAAAGGGCATTAAATAACAACAATGGACCTCAGAGAAATTAACTGTATCTCTTTATTGTTAACCAATGAATGTTATCCAAAATAGTAGATGTAATTGTAGCTTAATTGTACAACACAAAACATGATGCTAAAGGAAAAAGCATGTGGAAAATTACTTCACTGAGTAATCATTAGATGTATTCTTAGTATTTCTGCACCAGTAAGTGTTCCCAACTGCTGGCGACAGCAGCTATTACCACTTTGTTCATTGTGAAAACCTGTAGTACAAAATGGTTGTTCCTGGTTGTTGAATTAAAAAAAAAAAAAAATCACACAGCTTTATAAATGGATCTAATCCATTCAGCCCTACTCTATATGTTGTAGATTTAAGAACAACAATCTTTACTGGTGTTTTTTCCCAACACTGAAACTGATAGATCAGTGTCAGTGCACACTTTTCAGGGAAAAATGAAAACTCACTGGAAGCACAGCATTTCACCTGCCATGGCCAACTGTTCAAATACTTCAGAAATTTGCTTAAGCTTCGGTGTATGAAGCCTGTGAAACAAAAACTGTTCTTACAATGCACTGCAAGTTGAAACACCAACTTCCACCAAGCAGCATTTTGATGCATGTGCACAGCATCTGCACATCAATCTTCAAAGCAGATATGTTTAGCCCCACAAACTAAAAATATATTAATGTATCTTTATTTATTTTTCATGATGTCACCCCACATAGCCAAACTTTTACTCCGCAAAATAAAAAAAAAACAAACTTAGTTGGACTGTTCATGAGAAATTTAGACCTACTGTGCCTGAAAAAATGTTTAATAAAATGGCAAATTTTAATAGATAAGTGTAAATTTATGAGTGCATAATATCAAACAGAAAAAAAGCTGAACCATCCTCAGAGAAACCTAGGTTCTTCTACTGTTGATATTTATTAGGGTACTCTAACATAGGGAGTAACTGAAAACCACATTAACTGTAAAGTTATTACTAAAGTTCAATTTCTAAGCAAATTTCTCAAAAGAGCAGGTTTCCTTTTCAAGAGGGAAAGAACTTAATGATCTGACATTAGATATGACAATTACAATACTGGCTTCACTGAAACACTTTTACTCCAATTCTGGGAAGTTTCATTTTTGTATTTGAAACCCAAACTGACTGACAAACACATTCTACACACCCCTCCCAGAATATAGTATACCAGTGACAGTTACAGCTTTAAAACACACCAGATGCTTTTACAATTTAAACTCAACAAAAGGCAGTTAGACAGTACTTAGCACTGTAAATCCAAAATAAAGTAAAATAAAATCCTAGGAGTAAGGGCTCCTAGCAATCTTTAATGTTACTGTGTAGTGATAGTCAATTTAAACAGTTTTATTCATGGTGTTTGAAGGACCAGTCATCATGTACATAGTAGTGAGGTAGGATACTGTCCCCTCCCTGGGACTGATGTTTTCATATGCTCCCTTGCCAGAAAGGTCCAGGTTTCCCTACTGCAAATAAAATAATTACAAGCAAAGAGCACATTAAGCTTTGTTTCTTTTTTTCCCCTCTTTGTTGCATTGGAACATTTTGCACATCTAAAGAATCAGCTAGGAAAAGCAACATTTACTCAAGCCTATTAGCAGCCATGTGCTGCCCACAGGTAGTGTTCCATTTAAAAACACTTCCTGGAACTACCACCTGTCATCTAGACCTTTGTGAACAGGTAGGCAAAGAAAACCATCAATGATGACAGGACATGAAACACCACAGAATTTCACTTTGGGAAAAAAAAAAAAAAAAAAAAAAAAAAGACACAGAACTCCCCAAAACAAAACAAGAAAACAACAAGCAAAACTGAAAGTGAGCAGTATTAAACCCTTTATGGAGTAGCTATATTGAAATAGTACCTATCCAGTTTAGGTACAGTTCCATTCTTTCTATTTTTTAATGTTTAAGCAATATATACACTTGTCAGTCATTATATACTTCACATCTGTTTCCAAAGGGGGAAATAAACCCAAACAAACAATAAAATTGAAAACACAATGGGGAAAAACCTGCTATTAACCTCTACACCCTCCCCCCACCCAAACCCTAGGGTTAACAGACTGCCTTATTGTTGAATAGCTTCCCCTAAATTTGTCTTCTAGTCACTGTAGTCAACCTGGTATTAAGTGCTTTGGCAAAGTGGGGTGCGATCCATCAAATCTGCAAAGGCCTGGTTTTTTTCTCTGTTGGTGGTTCAGCTTTACGAGGAACATATATGCAAAATACCAGCTCTCACATTGCTTCAAACTCATCAATACGCTGCTTTGTATTGCCTTGTCGGATTTGCCGGAGAGTCTTGTACTTATCACGGCCTGCTTTAACATTCTCAGCATGAAGGACATCGTTTTGTGTTTTCTTGGTTTCATCTCTGGCTTGAGCCAACTCTGAACTTAAAGCCTGTTGAATAAAATATTTGAATTTAAGTGCTTTGACTAATCCTTTAACAGTTCTGGAGTTTCTGATAACAACTATTCTGCAATCTGGATAAGAATTTCTTGAATGCCAATCTATGGAATGCTTGTTGTGCTCCTCAGTAACTCAACAAGTTGTGAGGTCTATTAGAAGGAATGCAGAAGGAAAGATAAGGACAGCACAGGATTCCTTCCTTACATGAGTGTAAACATCAAACTGTATTTAAAAAAGCCTCATCCACCATAAAATCCAAGCAGAAAGGGACAAGCAAGATAAAAGAGGAAAACCACCTTATTTTTCAATTTTTCTGTAACTAAAGACTTAACTCCCTCATCTGGTCAGTGACAGACCAATCAAGAATACAACACATAGAGGCTAGTAAGACAGTGCTGTCAGACTAAGTAGCAGCTTTCCTTTTCTTGTTTTCTTCCCAAATAAACATTTTGTAACCAGGAAAAGGGCTACCACTACTATAGATTATTATGCTTTGAGGGATAAGACTTAGCCTGGGAGGAATTGCTCCGTTTTAGGGAAATAAGAATAATCCAAAATGAGTGCAATTTGAGTTTTTGCATTTACAACACTTATGAGTGACTACAAACAAACATAAATACTACCAAGCAGGCATCTGTTCCTACCACTTAATTAGTTTTGGTATTGAAAAAGGAAAGCATTATGTTTTAACATGCAGAGTTCTGGAAATCATATAATTATTAGAAACATTTACTGGCCAATGCAACAGCATACTTACACTTTAAAGCTATATAAAGCACAATCTTACATCTTGCAATCTTGCTATATATTCCATTTCTAGAACACTATGAATGATATTGGTTGGTAAACTGTTATTACAACAAATAAATTATAAAGAAGCTGTTTCCTTGGCAGACCATAACATCACTGAAGTTTCTTACAAAAGAAGGATGAAAACCCAAAGCCTGAATTGTGTTGATACAACTATGAATCTTCATTACCTGGAGCTGTTTCTTAACACGTTCATTTTTCTGTGTTTCTGTTACCCGTTCTTCCTCACTCCTGTGATTCATGACACCATCAGAAGACAGTTCTGCACTGGCTTCAGCATTGTTCTCATCATGTTCATCGTGTTCATTCTCTGTTGGAGGAATAACTGGTGGGGGTGGAGGTGGAGGAGGAGCAGACATTACAGATTTCAGTTCTTCTTTGGTCTTTTCCAAGTCCTCTTGGGCTGCAAAAGCCTAAATACAGTAAACAGTACTTAGCATATTTTTAATGATTTATCAAGAGTCAGAAAAATAAAAATCTGAGATGTTCTCAGACACATGAAACTGCTGACATGACTAGCTTACACACTGAAAATTGTCAAATAGAGACACAGAGTAAAAACCAGATATGGCTTAAAATACGCTGTACTAGTGTCCAGCAACTTCCAGCAGTACACAAAAGAGTGAAGGCATAGGGCAATCATACCGACTGTTTTCCAACTTTCCTAGCCTCCTTTTAGGGAGGCTAATTTAAGGTTCAATGATCTCCTAGGTCAAAGGTGATGAATTCAAATTTCATACTTAACCAGAACTTATGAAAATTTGTTCAAACCCTTTTTGAACCCATGCACAGTAACTATTCACACTCCATAGCTAATTACAGATTTTATGAAGAAATACTATTTTGCTTTAAATTTTTACCCAGCTGCAGTTCATGTGCCTTTGTTAACTGTTTTGGTTCAGCTTTCCATCAAATCTCTTGATTTTATACACCTTCCTCCTGAGGTGTTTTCCTCTCTTAACACAAAGCTCCAGTTTATTGCACCATCACACAAAAGGAAGCAATTTCTAATCTTTGACCATACCTTTGTGATGAGAATGTCCCCCCCTTCATGACTATGCAATATCAAGAAATGAGTTAAACAGAAGCATAGGCTGGTTTCAGTAGACTGGAGGACAAAAACCTTTAAGAAAGACTTTTCTGAAGCCTAACGGAAAGAGAGAGATTTGACCCCATGGACTTCTAGTGAGATTTCCGCACTCATTTCCCTCAGCCTCTTTGAAGTTCTGACTTCACACAGCATGGGCTCATTACTTTGTGCTGCCATTCTGAAGCTTCCTCTTCTTTCTTTTTCTTGGCCTCCTCTAGAAGTGCAATCTTGGCTGTGAATTCAGCAATTTCTGCTGCCTGAAACAAACAAAAGAACAAAGAAGTTTTAATTTGGTATTAGTCTGGCTTTGCAGTGGAAGAAAGCAGAGCCTTTGCTATGATCCAGCTTGAAAAGTTAGTTACCATCGACCACCTCTCTGTGAAAAATAGAAATTTTAAGCATACATGACAGAGGGAATGAATCAGAGTACTCTTGCCTAACAGAAATAAGTCCAGGAAAAAAAAAAAATCTTCTGCACTTCAAAGCTTCCTGGGAAACAGCAAGCTGTCATTACAAACTAGTCATTACATTTCAGGATGTTTCAGTCTAATACAATTTTGATGGTCCTACCATTAAGATTATGATTCTGGATCATAATCTCAGTACCATTAAGCCAAATATTGCCATCAGAATTACGTGCCAAGTTTACAGAAGATCAAAAACTCATTTACAGTTGAGAAATCATCTCTTCTATTTTCATCCCTTTCTCAATTATTGTGCACAAATCTTGAATTAGAAGTAGTCTAACAATGTAAAAAGATACTGCAAATACTGGCAACAGAAGAGGTAAAGTAACAAAAATACCCCAACAAAGCCCAGTGTCACCAACTCCCCACCACCATTAAGCTTCAGAACAAGCTGCCTCAGAGAACAGGCTTCCCAGTGGGCTGCAGAAGGAAGCTACTCTTGTTCTCAACTGGATAAGCCTGAGACTATTAGAAAGAAAATGTAATGAGTGTTGTCAGTCTGAAGGATGGTGGTTGTCTATGTATCCTACAGATACATAGTTCTATTTATGCCTTGCAAAGTAGCGGCAAGTCTAACGCAGTTTTCTAAAACAGTTCCCACAACACTCTGTAACAGTATTTCAAGTATTTTTGTGTTTCAATGTACTTCCTCATTTGAAGAAAAAGGAAAAAGGCTAATTTTTCAACTGTATTTTCCAATTTTAACCCTTTTGTGAGGTAAAAAATAAAGTTTCTTACTAGCTGCTCCTGGTTCTTCATTTGATCAGCTGCCTGCTTGGCTAGAGCAGCTTTGGCTACTTCAGCTGCTCGACGCTCTTTTTCCAGGCGTTCTGCTTCCTCTTTTGCACGCTTCCGTTCTTGATCCAGTTCTAGAGCTCTCCGAGTCTGCTCCTCTAGCTCTGCCAAGAGGAAAGTTTACAGACAACGTATCACTACCTAGCTCTTCCTCATACGTATCACAGATACCAGCTGCAATATGCCCACAATAAAGTAACATAGAACACTAACCAAGAATAACAAGACCACCTCAAGCTAAGAAAAGCTGTTGAGTATGCTACCCAGAGCTCCTTTCCATGTCTGGTTTCCCTCCCACTTTAAGATATGCTTTGGATATACTTCATTTCACCTGACATTTCTGACAGCCACATGTTTCCGAAAAGTGTCACCTCACTGATAAAACTACACACCCAAATACATGTACATATACATGCACATACTCCTACCATAAGGATATTTCATGTACCTTAAATCACACTCCCAAGAAAGCAAAAAAAAAAAAAAATCTTCTTACTGAAATGCCTGACAGATTCCTTAATCACAGCTGAAAATTTAGGCATATGCCTCCAGCAAAATGACTTAATACCCATTGGAAGGGTCAGAAAAATTCTTTGTATGTGAGAGGAGGAAAATTTTAAATCAAGGGAGAGATAATAGCTGGTCAGCTGCCTGCATAGCAAAATATTGAAATCTAAAGGGCAGAACCCTTAGTGCAACAGGAAGAAGTAATAGTCTAGGTGTAATGCAAGGTTAGGTTTACACAGACAAAATTTTACTCCTCCCCTGATGAGAAAAACTAGATGACTATGAAAAAAGTCTTTCTAAAGCTCTTCGCTGGTTCTAATGATAAAATTTCTGCCATGATCTTGGCTAGGCACAGCTCTCATAGACTCCTTCAAGAGAAAACCTAAACAACTACTCATTTTTTAAAAAATCCGTTTGTTTTCACCACAAGCTTTAATACTACAAAAGCACCTCCCCAGATATGCTGACACACCCTTCATCTTTGTACTTTTAGTTTTAAGTAGTAATGCAACCATTATTCTTCAGCTGGTTTCCCAGGCCTACTACTATTCCTTCAGTTATAAAATTAAATGAACAACACCACAAGTATGTGAGGTTCTACAAATGCAGTATCTAGAAATTAAATTAAACAAAACTATTTAAAAACACTACTCAAACAAATTTTCCTATGAAGTTGGAGGACACAAAACTAACACAGACCATTTATAAAAAGACTTTTCCATGTGTGCATAGAAAGCTAAAAAGTCCAGTAACACATAACATTTTGTATTGCACCAGAAATTAGGTGACATTGCTCACAAAGTTTTGAGAAATTGTGTATTGTTAAACCTCCAGAATTACTCCGACACTGTTTTGTCCTGGGCCAAATAGCTCTCCTTAAACAATGCCACAGCATTGTTAGTGTGTTACCTGTCTGGATGTGTCCAACCTGTTCTGCATTGAAAGACACAAAAATGCACAGGTGGAGCTGGAGAGCAGTGCCAGGCATATGTAATTTATTTGCATAGAGTTAATCAGTGATTCTCTCTATGATGCTTGAAGCCAAGAGTTAGGAAAAGAAAGGAGTGACAAAACTTTTATGAATGTGAACCAAACCTGAAGTAGGGAAAAAAAAAAAAAAAAAGAACATGGAGAGGAGGGGCAGGGAAGTCATGGAGGCAGTGACTCCACAGGGTGATTAAACGCAAAGAACTGTGAGTGGTGAAACTACATGTTTTGTCACTCATGTCTGACAATTTCTCAAGTTCTTACAAGGGAACAGGAAAGGAGGAAGGAACAAGGAATTTCCAAATTAAAAGCTAAATTCAACAAAATCCCAGAGAAAGTACTTTGAATCTTTCCCTCTAATTTCCCTGCTCCCTTCAACTCCAACTGTTCAGCATTTTAAACATTTCATAATTCTGAGTTGAACTGTGTATGCATTAATTTTCTTTTTACTAAATCAAAACTTTTGCTACATAAAAGATTGGTTTTATATTTAAAAGATACAGACAAAAGTATGCACACCATCATTTAAACATTGAAAAAAAATATATCTCATATCAATAAAACACCACTAAATTCTTGCCACTATTAGTAAAACAAACTTACCACCCACCCAAAATAACAAAACACAGACATACAAAAAGAACTGTGGAACTGAACTACCCAGCTAAACTAAACACTGTCACTAGATTTAAGAAATCTATGACCTCACCTTTCTGAGCTTTCATTGTTTGCTCCTCAATTTGTCTTAAGCGCTCCATTAATTCCTCTTTTTCACGCTCTATTCTTTCCTTTTCCTTTTCTGCTATCTCCCTTTTTTTCTTCTCATTTTCTAATTGTGCTCTGTAAAAAAAATAGTGAAAAGGGTTTTTTTAAAATCTCCAACATATTAAATTATATTCTTTGGATGCAGGTAGCAAATTTTTCAGTCTACTCAGCTACCAGGGAAGGATAATTTTAAATGCTTATAATCCTGTTTCTGCTTCAAAATACTGTAGAGAAGAACGATTTATGAACAGAAGTGATAATCAACCTTGGTTATGGTTCAGTCAGGTATATCCACAATTATATCTGCATTTTAGGCATGATGCTTCATCTGGGCTAAAATGGCAACAGTATTTTTTATACTTAAAGGTAAACCAGGACATGCTTCACAGAATTTGCTTTAAGGGTTCACCTGTAGAGTATAAAATTCCCTAAGAATCAAGCAACAGAGAGGTAAGACTTGCACAAAAAACTTAACGAGGAACAACAGTACAGCTACTATCACTGTGTTGAAAGCTCAAAAAAGATACGCTTATATATTAAGACAGGGGAGCCACGCCAATTCACCAACCTGCTTACACAGTGCAGAAAGAAAAGCAGTTCTCTCTTTTCTAGAATTCCAAGATACATGATATTCTATGACTTTTTTAAAGCTAGAATTTTTTTCTGTTTCATGGCAGTTTGTTAATTACCTTTCCAATTGTTTCTGATGTTTCTCTTCTCTAGCTTGGGCCTTCATCTGTTGCACTTCAATTGTATCAGGTTTCCTCCGCCTCATGTACAATTCATGATTTCCCATACACAGTGCCAAAATTCGCTTGTTAATTCTCAGACGGGGTGCATAAAAAACAAAATCCTAGGAAAAAAGTAATTCCAGTATATCTATTAACCTAAAACAATACACTTAGGATTCAAAGCATTACTGCATGCTTGCATTGGTTAAATGAAAACTCACAAGTATTTTCATATTTTGAGCAGGTGAACACCATAATCTATAAATTTAGCCACTGTTAAAGACTTGTAAGATAAATTCAAAACTGCACCTGGAATACTCCAGAAATTATCTTGTTTATATAATTTGTTTTTTAAATAAGACTATTCTCTACTCTATTCTGAAGTTACTTGACCTAGAAAGTCTCATGAAATGTCCTGTTGTAATTCCAAAAAAAAGGAAAAATAAAAACAGAGGAGGAAAGAGGTCAATAATTTAGCATCTTATGCTGTCTTTCCAACACATCACAAAGTATTGGTTGACCTAAAACCCTACAACAATTTGGGAGTATCGAAGAGAATGAAAAGAGAGAAAACAAATATACCGTATTTCAAAATGAACATTTTGTTTTGATTACTGACTATTATATCAGTAAAAGTAATAAATGTCACCAATATTTACTCATGCCTTAATGCCAGAGCAAGTCCCTGCAGGCTTAAATCTCTTCATATAGCAAGTGATACTATTGTACACACTACTTACAGGGGCCTTTTTGTCAATCGGCTTTATGACAAATTTTTTGTCATTAAAAGAGATGTTTCTTATTTCACTCCAAGGAAAACCAATCTTGGGTGTCAGCCTTCAAAGAGAAAAAGTTCTCATTAGAAGCAGCAAGGATGTGCACTTTGTATATATATGAATTCAGTAAGGCTTATGTCTGTACCATTCTCACTATTACACTTAGCTACATATAGAATATTACATTTACAACATTATGTTTTAATGTAAACATTAACAACATTTTAAGCATATTTTGGTAGATTTTTCTTTTTACAAATATTCCATCAAATTAATCACATTTTAATAAATTACATGGCATTGTAAAAATAGGAATTTTGATTTGTGACTACTATTACCTAGATGCTAAATATCACGATAATGTACTCATTCCTTATAGGGAATTGGCAACTGTATTTTCACTTCAAAGAGTAACTATTTAAATGTGAGAAATTGACATTTCAAATACTGAAATTAAAGTAACTTTCAGCCATACTGTACTTCTGTTTAGCTCAGATTTGCGTTCTTATGTTTTCAGAATTCAAGTTAAATTTCAAGTTAAATTTCCTTGTGTCTTAAGCAAAATACATTAAATTCAGAAATTGTTACAATGTTAATGCATCAACTGCATAACAGTAAATATTTTTCTGTCAGTACAAAAGTTTTTTCAGTTCATATTATCTTAATTATAAATAGCACATAATATTCAAGTATTTGATTGCTAATTATCAGAAGACAGGAAGTAACAAAAAAACTGCATCATAGCTCAATCTGATCCAATCATTTTGAATATTTCCTGATTTCAGGAGTTATATTGCCATCTAATGGCAATTAAGGCTTACAGAATTTTGTTAGAGAGTATATACATCTAAAGTTGACTGCTCCCATCTGGAATTTGACATATCATGTGTAACTTCAAACAACTGTGAATGGTCTGTTGACATCAGATACTACTAACAAGTGCTTGGAAAGAAAGAAAAGAGCAAGTCTGTTCTGTTTTCAAATTCTTCATATTTCCTACATTTCAATTCAGCTCTTCCCTCTTCAAGTAGAAGAGATTGTTTGATCTCTTTATCAGGACACATAAATGATCTATTTTCTTTGATGTCTAAAAGGTTTCACTTTTAAACATCTATGTTTATCATGCTCCAACATCTATAATCCTTGTCATGACTCTTAAAAATGTTTCTCATTAAATAAATTGCTCAGTTTTATTTCTCATTGAATAAATTGCTCCTTTTCATCCTGACCCAAGGGAATGTTTTGACTGAAAGGTACAGGAAGAAACCACATAAAGATAGCCTAGCTCTAGTAATCCATATAAAGCAATGTAAATTTAAGCTTCATAGAACTGCTCTCCCTTTCCCTTCTTTTGCATCCCTAATCTTTAAAATTCAAGCTTTCCAGCAGTTAACTTCTCTCTCTCTTTTTCAATCTCTTACATAGATTAGAAGGAGAACCTGTTTTGCCAGATCTTACTGAACACACAGTAAGGTGGAGGTTGTACAATCTCAGATAGCAACTCCTAGGACAGAACCGCAAAATGAGCATTTCCCACTTACTTATCATCGTGCTCATAAATATTCAGACCCAAAGCATCAACTCCTAGCCACAATTCAGTTCCTTTTTTATTCTTTATTTCAAAATAGTTGACTCCATACATTTCCAAGTCTTGTGCTATCTTAAGGTATTCCATCATAGAATCTTCCCTGATGAAGAAGAAAAATTGGTATAGTTTAGACAACAAATCATAAGTACATTGTAAGAATAAGAGAACTACAGAATAAACATCTAGGGTAAAATTAGTTATTAATTAAATCACTCTCTAAAATAGTTTGACTTGGATATTTTTAAGAGCTCTACACTCTAATATCCATTAGACATTAGAGTCCAATCATTGCACTTTGTCCTTCTGCCCCGTGAGCTAAGCAAATACTAAATGTATTTTCAAGGCAGGCAACTGTGGACAAAGGTAGTTGACAGCCTTACGAGAATCACAACCTAGCTGGAAACTCAACTTTCATGGAAGTCTTTCATAACTACCTACCTTGGTCAGAATATAAGAAAGCCACTTTCCAAAAAAATACCTCCCAAAATACATCCTAATAATAATGAAAGGTGTCATGAACATTTTTTATGTAATTACCTTAACATTCCCCTGTGCTCTTCATGCCAGTTCTGTATTCTTTCTTCCCACTGTTCTTTTGTCAGTTTGTGCTGTTCTAACACACTGTGAATAGAAATTGTTGCTCTTAAATGACACTGACAACAAACTTAACCTCTTTTGTTGCACATCAAAACATATGCTTTAACTGAATAAAAGATGATTTAAAAGATGACTTCCTATATACTGCCTATAGTTTCAGCACAGAAGCAGTAGCTTTGTATTTCAACAAACTCCCTTCTAATTTGTATTTCCAAATTCCCACACTAACATAGAGTAAAAGTCACCTCTTTTTTCTTGGTATTCTATATTCTTTGTAATATAAAAGTCACACCATTGCATACCTCAGCTAAGTCATATAATGTAATGTTTATGACAGCTGAAAACGCACACCTATATGATCCCCTGGCAACAATGCTGCAAATTAATCTCTAGGTGTGCAAAGACACACTCAAGCTTTCATTCTGCTCTCATTTGAGAGAAAAGGTGAGACATTACAACAAGTTAGGATACAACATTGTTGAGGGCTTTTTTGTGGTTTTGGGTTTATTTTTCCTTTATGAATAAAATCAATAGGGAAGCAGCTTCAGAAAGCTATTTAATGCTTAAACGACAAGAGGCTGAAATGATGGAATTATATTTTGGCCTACTAGAACTTTCAGTGTAGTACTGCAGTAAGAAATCAAATGCATATGATAACTTTATTATGCTTTCATCCCATGCACCCAGCATTTCAGGCATTTCTGGAGAAGCTGTTTTAAAGGACAATTAAAAGATCATCTGAGTATTTGTCTACTGAAAAGAACACCTTAAGTATATGAATTTGTGCTGTCCTCTGCACGCAATATATTTTATTTGCGGTATACTTACTTTCAGGAAATTATTTTCATGTTTTTGCACACTTAAATGACAACTAAAGAAAAGGAGCGAGTATCAAATTAATTTTAGTTACTTCTGTATTGGAGTATTTTGATTTTAATTTAGCAGAAGCAGGCCTCCATTAACATTAAATTATTTCAGAGTACTTTGGAAATGTGTAAAATTAAATCTGTGCAGATGTTTATGGACAGAACAGAAAAGCCATCTCAAGAAACATGTAGCTGTGATGTTTCTTCACTGAAGTCTAAATTAGCATCTCTAAATTTTACTAGCAAAAAGAGGAACTTTAAGAAAACCACCATTAAATGCATATATTGCTTAATATTTTATTTATAAAATATGTGCTATAGTTAAGTTTTTGTGCAGCATTTGGTGCAAAATCCATCTCACTCACCGCTGGGGGAGAAGCCTGTCATTGGCTAGGTATCCCAGTTTATGGATCTCCTTACTGTAATCTCCATACTTGGATTGGACAGCATAAGAAGCCAGAAGAACTGCAGTTTCTGGTGGGCAATATATTTCATCATTTAAGATCGACTCTTTGACTTGCAGAAAGAAAAGTCTCTGAGTTATTTCCTGAATTAATTCTTCAGATACATCCTCTGGAAAAAACTTGGCCCTGAACTTAAACTGCAAAGGATTTTCTTTCCGTACATCTTGCTGTGTTACCTGAGGGAGAGGAACAAAGAGAAAAATAAAAAGAGCACTAAATGGTAAATTAAATGAGATTTAAGAGTACTTAATTCTTTAGGTCCTCTACACTGAAAGCCAGAGCTTCCAGACAAGCCCACAATGGAACTCACTGAAAGGTTCACATGGCACAATTTTGTCCATTTGAATGAACCAGATAATTTTGAAATACTACTTAAAGGCTGATTAAGAGATTTATTTTCTGTTGACTTGTGTAAATTTTTTATTTATCACAATTAAGACCTAGAAACTAAGAAGATGCAAGACATCAAAAAAACCAAAACTATATCAAACGATGATTTGCAGGACGTAATAAATTAGGGTCTAACAATGGTTCTTTATCAAAAACTACAGCACATTTCTTCAATGTGAGTATGAAGTTAATTCTTTTAAAAGTCTATGAACTATTGAAATAAATATATGTGCTTTCTTCCTGCGCAAATAGCTCAATTCCTTTAATCACGTTATTTTTCTAGAATGGATAAGCTTTAAAACTCTGATTTCTGCAAAGAAATCAGATATGGTCTGAAAACTTCCTCTACTTCTGATTTCAACAGTTACTCATTTTTATGCAGAATTCAATTTCATTTGTGCTCAGCTTGCAGCACCAATTATGGCCAAAGCTTTGGACTCATGCAGGAGCTTCTCCAAGCCCCCCGGGATCCAAAGAGAAGTTCCTTCCCTCTGCCCGACTCGTCCCACTGCCCAGCTGGCCGGGGTTCACAGGGGATCTGTTCCCGTGGATTTGAGGGGGAGACGCAGCAGGCTTGGCACTCTGGCAAGCCTCATTTGCGTTCTGCCGTGCAATCACAATAATTATTCCACACCAGAGCGTCTCGTCCGGCACTTGTGCATCTATCACCCAATGTAGCCGATCTACAAAATTTACAAAAGACTCTAAAGGCTCCTGCTTAACAGACAAATAGTTAACAACGGGGCCACTAGGTTTCAGTTTAAAAAATGCTTTCTCTGCTGCTTTTGCACTCAGAAGCAAAGCTTCCCTTGGTAACTTTTCTGCCTGCTTTTGACCTGAATCCCAATCCTCATTCCCACAAAAGTGGCTTACTGATATAATTGCCTAGCTCAGTCAGTAGAGCATGAGACCCTTAATCTCAGGGTCGTGGGTTCGAGCCTCACATTGGGCGCCAAGCCTGCTGTGTCTCCCCCTCAAATCCATGGGAACGGATCCCCTGTGGACCCCGGCCAGCTGGGCAGTGGGGCGAGTCGGGCAAAGGGAAGGAACTTCTCCTTGGATCCCGGGGAGCTTGAAGAAGCTCCCGCGTGAGTTCAAAGACGAGCTGGTCCCACAAGCAAAGGAAAGAGGCACCCTCCCTCAGGATTAGTTCCAAAATTTAAAGGAGGCCTGGAGAGATCCCAGGCCACATCTGTCCTCGAAGGACATCCAGAGCAAGAGAGAGGGTCTCCCTACCCGGAGAAGCCAGATATAGGGCGGCAGGGAAACCCGAGCAGCCAACGGGAGAAGGACATGGGAGTGGCTCTCTGGGGCAAGGCCTCAGAGTGACCACTGAGGAGGGGGTGGGGGAGGAGTCCCAGAGCCAGGGTCCAGTTACCCGGTGACCCTGCCAGAAGGATCTGGACAATGGGGAAGGGTCACCAGGTGATGGACACATCCCCTGGGAGGAGACAGGGGGATGGGTTGGGGTTTGATGGACACACAGGTACTGATGGGAAAGCTGGGATGAAACAGATACAAAGAGGGAATATGGAGGGACAAACCATTATGAGGGGATATACAGTGCAAACACAACTCTACACAAAGCAAAAACAATCAAAACTAAACTAATTTTAACATAAAATAGTAATTGTTAAAATGTACATTCATAGTAAAATAATTCTCATACATCCCAGTTCAATTACTTTATTACACATTTAGTTTTATGAGCACTATTAGTCCCACTAAAACCTCTTTGTTACACATGAAATTATGTATCCGTTTGCTTGACTTCTGGGAAGTCTCAAAAACTGTGACTATAAACACAGCCTTTTAAACACCAAAGATAGCCTAAGTACATATATATTCAACATTTGAGATGTCAGTTTTAAAAGTTCTGCTTGCTTTTCATTATTGTTGTGCACTATGTACAGTCACAGCATTTTATATCACCAGTGAAAAATTAGTTGTGGTCACCACGATAAAATCTTACTTGCACATCTATTCTTTACCAGATTTTATCTGTATTTACTGAAAAATATGTAAATAATAATTTAAAAGTGAGAGACAGTTAATTTGATGCATGTCAGAATCAAATGTTACAAGTGTTTTTAAAGAAAAGATAAATAACTGCTTTAGTCAAAGTTTAAAAAGGAGCACGCCCTCAGTTGCTTCTGAACTGTACCAGAAACTTAACTTGTTAAAGAATTTCATAGACTAATGTCTTCTGTATTTTTCACACCTGATGCATTAAATCCCATAGTCTCCGACCACTTGAGACAAGCCATTACAGTTAACAAAGTATCTGTAGCACTGCGAGACACACATGAAATTCTAGGAGACAGATTTGGTGGTTAGCAGGCTTAACTCACTGGATTTACCACAGAGGAGGAGAAGCAAAGATTACATAAGTGCAGACAGTGGGACTTGCTCCTAAAACCCTCCAGTCTGCCTCCTAATATTGAAGATAAAAAAGGCATTCTTGATTAGGTTCTAAAAAAACTAAAAAAACAAGTATCTCCATTCTAAACAGTGACATTAACAATTAATCTGACAGCCAATATTACAACCAGATGTGACCATTTAAATTCATAAATCAAAATTAAAGTAAAATAACCTAGTTCCCAGTAACTGGGAGATACAAGGTACTCAATGCTATTTGGAAAAGAAAAATTATTATCCTACAATCTACCTATCAGATATTTAAGTTTAGAAGTTGATTATTTTGTCTTATTTAATGATTCATAGCTGTATGAGCACAAATTCCTGAAGCTCAAATACTTCCCGTACACACGCCCAAACTGTAAAACAATAATTCTATTATGTTTTGCTACATGAAAATGGGACAATCATATGAATTCAAGTTTTCCTAATGTATGCATGCATACATTCCACAGTACTGGAAACTATCTCCTCAAATTAAATATTGATGCTGCTTTGCATATTCTTTATAACTTATCTAACTTAACACTATTTTGTCATTTAAAGCACATGAAAAATAAGTTTTCAGCTAAATTTGAAGCCAGCTATACCTCACGTAAGATATTGAATCAGCAAAGCTTATAAAAGATATTTAAACTGAACACTTGGCTAAATATGAGGGAATTCTTACCTTTTTATTTAGCTTCAGCCAAGTTGAGTAGCCTTTACTGTCCACATACTGCAGCCCAAAAAACCAGACTTCACGAAGACCAACAGTTTTCACCACCTAAAGAAAAATGAGCCAAAATCATCAGTAATCATTACAATACATTTTTTAACTCGCATTGTGTAGCTTAATAACGCTACATGAACAATTTCAAACTGAAATGTAATCAAGTCTCACAAGAATGAAAGAAGATAAAATAGTGGCAAAACATCAAGTTCAGAGAACCCCAGAGTTCTAAATAAACTGAAACGCTCCAAGCTATCAACTGGAGTGGGCAGCCCACTGTGTAGATCAGCACCTGAGGAACAGAAGGTAGTAACAGGACCTGAGGTTATAAAGCACATCTGGAAAGTGACCTGCAGCCCTATGGAGAACTGACTACACTTCAACAGAAGACAACTGGTAAAACGATAATAAAGAGTAATATTTGTGGATAAGTATGACATAATGAGGATGAACTGCCTCCTTCAAATTGTTCTGCCATATTCTAAGAGTTAATGATAAAAGGGGTAAGGATGATCTACCTAATTTAACATACATGACCCTGTAAGATTTCAGACCAATTCTATCACCAAAAGCTACTACTAAAGAAGCAAAATTGTCCTTGACTAGAGAAAAGGCTGTTTTATGCATACACTGCTTAAAAAGACAGATGAAAAACATAAGCTGTTTTCGTAATAGAACTGTAGTGTAACTACTAGGGAAGTCCCCCAGGACTTCAAAAAAGGATGAAAGCGATGTAAAAAACCTTCCATGAAGATTTGCGAATAATAGTGAAAAAAGATGAACCTCAATAAAATATCATATTTAATAGAAGCAAAACACTGTACATAAAAGACAATTTAAATTATGTGAACAAAGTTCTAGTTGTAAAGCAAAAAGGCAAGAAAGCTATTACATTACTATACATATGTATGGTACTCACAAATCTCTAATGCTACATAAGGACTGGTCACATCAACTTATAAAAAAGGATGTTGCAGCATTGGAAATGTTTCAGAAATGTTGAAATGAATGACTTGGAACATTTTCTGCATAGCTAAGATGAACTACAGCTATTGACAGAGAAATAAGGAAGGCTATGACACAGGTCTATAAAATTTACATGGCATGTAGAAGGAAACTAGGGAATGATTGTTCATTATTTCTTATAATGCAAGAATTAAGAGAATCAACAGAAATCATGACATAGCAGGCTCAAAGCAAATAAAAAGAAGCACTTTTACTACAGAGTATAATGAAACTGTAGAACTGTTTTACAAGTCTTTTGCACAGCAAAAGCATATGTGGATTTAATAAGCAATTAATCAGAAAGGTCCAGCAAAGATTATTAAATGACTGTAAACTCTGGCTCCAAGTATGGTAGTACTTACGTATGTCCTCAGGTTGGACCATGGTGCCAAGCTGCTTTACTGAAGGCTGTTTTATGGAAGCATTCAGATGCATGTGAAGTAAATAGAATTTTACACATAGATCCTCCTCCATTTTAAAGTAGTACTATCGGGTTGCAAAATTAAGATTTTGAAAATTAGAAAATGTCATAAGATAACTATGCAAACTTACTTCTGCTGCCTTGCATATTCGAATAATCATTTAACAACCATTCGAGTGTGCACTTTTTAAACCTTTATCATTTCACCTTCAGACTCCAAAGCACAAAATGGACAATGTTTGTGGATCCAGCCTGATTGATGCATTGAGTGAGCACAATTATTTCCTCTAGAATTCCCACATAATTTACTTTAGACCATAAGAAATGCTTAGAACAGGTGTATGTTAATAGTATCGTCTCAAGCAGCACTAAATTTGGTGCCCCAACTCCGAAATTTCAGACCTGCTGTTTCTTTTGGCACAGATCTCCTATACAACACTGATCAAACTACTTACGGCTTTATCAGATGACTGAGAATGCTCTTTACTTAGCAGCTGTCCAAGCTGAGCCCTTGTACCTTATCAGCTCTCTGAGCTGCAAAGAACTGCAGATGCTCAACAGCTCTGCCCATAAGGCATAAGGAGACAAGTGCTTATGCTCATGTCAAAACATTTTGCTCTCAACCCACTGACTATGGCCACTGAGATGCACGTGATTTAAATACAGACAACCTGAGTACAGCAATGCAGAGCTACACAAGTTTGCAAAATCAACACTAAAACCAGCAGAATCCACAAATAAGGAACAAGCATTGCCAACTTCGTACCAAGATAATAACATGCATTTATGCACTGCAGTAGCATGTTAATGAAAAGTAAGTGGAGAATGAAAAACGTAGAAGTTTGATTCTGGCACAAAACTTCTATTAAGTAGCTTCTGGCAAGTGTTCATCCCATCTGTAAAAGAGATTTATCCACCATCACATCCTACAACTTGACTATTAATAGGCAATAAAAGCTTCTTGGAGAAGAAAAGCAACCTGAACAATATATGTTTGGGCAAATCACAACATGCACATAAGACAACCTAACAAGGATTTCATATGGTCACCTTCCACAAGACTGTAAAGAAGGCTTTGGAGACATCTGGAAAGGACAATGGAAAAAGGACAAAGGAAAATTACAACATGAAATAAAGGAGACAACCCTCACATTCCTTCTGAATAGCAGCTACAGTGAACCAAAAGCTACTAATGCACAGTGCTAACAAAACAAAAAAACTCCCCCATGATTACCACCAGTGTGTGGAAATATCCCTCACAGGGTTCTTCCACTCTCAGGAAAGCTACAGATGCTTAACCGGTTGACTACAGGAGGACACATCCCCTCTTGCCTGGTCTGACCACTGACAGGATAGACAGAGTGACCAGTGATAAGTATGTTAGTACACCTTCTGAAATGCAAATAATTTAAAAAAAAAAAATCTTTTCCAATAAATAAGAAGTATACCAAGTTTGACAATGGAAGAGAAAAAAGAAAGCCACAGATTTCAAATGCTGCATTCTTGCCTGCTAGCAGATGAAGATGGTGAGAACACTCATATGGAATGGCAAACAAATCAACAACTCCAGAAAATGACAATTAAAAGCCTAAAAGAGCTCTGGCTGGTAAAAGGATGAAAGGTTGTTCACCAAAAATGTAGGGGAGCACTAGATAACAGTTGAATCCATGGAGAGGTTATTTTCTGCAAACAATAACCAACCTGCTTGTCATGTTCACCACTTATGCATAAACTTTGAAGGCCAATCCTTTCAGTAATAGTGCTAGTCAATTTTCTATCTATAGAGAAACAGGATAACTTTTTATCTAAAAATTTCATGCTGGTTTCACAATACAGTTCAGCTCTTGATGTTACACAGTGGAACTCACACATAAATTTAAGATCAGGCTAAAAAGTGTTTCTCACACACAACTTCTGGTTGATTTTTTTTGCCCTATTTTTTTTTCAATTTAAAACTCCAGAGGTAAGAGTTGGTGAGATGTCAAACACCACACAGAGAACTGAGGAACAAAGAAGAGAGCAAAGAGAGCATGACAACAAATTCAGAACTGTATCTTTAATCCCTGTTTGCAAATGCTCCAATTTGGATGAGCCTGATTACCTGGGCACAAGACATTACACAGCAGAATGCCACCCCACCCAACAGTGCACGGCATAAGATAGCAAAGGCTGGCAAAAGACAAGTAACAGCTTGAGCCTTCTATGCCACAGAATACCATACTGCTATTTGATGATGATGGTTAGACAAAAAGCAAGACAGCCTCTTTTTTCAAGAAATCATTTTAAGTCATGAAGTTTATTCCTATGTAGGGGCTGAAGACTTACTTCACAGGTATACCCATATACTGCTACTGATGTTAGAGAAAAGGGCAGGCAATAAGCGTTAAGAGTCAGTCATTTCAAACAAAAACTGCAAAGGTGATTTCATTCATCTAGAAGTTCAGTATTAAAACAATAAACATTCTCTTATTTTCAATTTATATAATAAGACATTTAATTGACTCTAAAAGGTCAACTAAAAGCTTAAAGAACTTTTTTGATGTATTACTTTCTCTTAGTACTCATGATTACATACTTCAAGCATCTATAGTGAAATGGACAGACACAACTATTAGACATAACTGTTTATCTACTTAAACTATTTTTGAAGAGTAATTTCAGATATTTCCACATTTCCTAAATAAAGGCATACATCTTGGATCTAGATAATAAAACATATTTATTGGTATCTTGCTAGAAAACAACACAACACATTGGTAGGTTGTGACTATTCTTAAGGTTTCCTCTAACACTCCAAAACACAGGTCAAAAACTTGTTTCAAGATTCTGATGGCTAACATCACATGAGTGCAAGAACATCACCGTTTAAGAAATCATTCACTTGGCTGATGTACAACACACACCATCAAGTGCAGTTCTGATAGGTGTGCAATCCATAAGCATATTAAGGTCATAATTTTAAACTATTCCTTTTTCTTTTTTTTTTTTTTTCTTTTTAACATAAATTCCAAACTGGTTCATAGGATAACAGTATTTAGTTCTAACATTTGGGAAGTGAAAAACCATCTTACAGCATCTATTGCTGGAAAGCAATTGTGTTAGCTTTCATTAATGAACTTACTGTTATATATATATTTCTAAAACTTGTAATTCTAACTATATTGCAGTAGCAACTACAATATTATTAGACATAAAAACCACAATTAATTTCAAAGCAGTTCCATACATGATTTATCTGAAGCCTCACTGGTAACATATTTAGAATTGTCTTCGAATTCAATATGTTCCATAAGAAGTAATGAGGAAATTCAGACTAGCTCAGAGCATAGCTTAGATAACATAAGGGAAAACAATCAGTACATGAGAACGCTACCACTTTTTCAGACTATGCCTTAATAACCACAATACTTTTATGTGCTTGTAGTCATATATACATAGAGACATTAAGTTACCTGATCAAAGAGCTGCTTGCCTGTTGTATTGGGCTGGATGGCAAATTCCAACTCTGCATCCATTGTGGTTACTCTGACATTGATCTACAGAACATATGGAAATATTTAAATCATACTGTAACAGTGTAATACTTCTAAATCCTGTGATTAGCCTGTAAGAAACAATACATTCAACAATTTTAATGGTTTTGTGTATACACAGAATGTAGCAGTAAGAAAAACAGAAAATTTGAATCTGAAAAAATTCTCATCTTTATTTAGTCTAAAAGCATAATCAGCATAGTACTTACCAGTAGGTTGGAAGCTTAAATTAGAAAACAAAGCTCAAAATTAATTTATTGAGAAAGCTGACATCACTACTGAACAGCTGAAGAACATGGAGATATTCAGCTACTGGGCACTATGTTTCAGAGGGCTTCCCAAATGCATGCAAAAGAAAAAGTTCTTGGCCACATATATGTCATTTTAAGGTATTTATGCCTAGCAATATAAAAAGATAAGCAGCTTCCTACTTGCCATTTCTAAAATCAAGCAGTTTGATAGTCCAAGTATTTAGGAGTAGAGCTTGTATGCCGCAGGACAGACTAGAAGCAGGTTTTCACCAATGTAAAGAAAAACTATAGAAGTTAGTTCTCTTTAGTGCTAACCTCCTTCAACTCCCTTACTACAAGAATAAAAAATCGCCACCATTCAATGAACCTCCTTCTCCTGAAAGGAAGGACCATTTTCCAGTGACTCCTGACAATGACTGGATGTATTTGTTATAAAACAAGAAGTCAAATACTGCAGGAGATAATTAGAAGCCTTACTTGGCAATACAACAGCCTTTTCCAATTTCTCTTCAGCTGGTACATATAGAAGTGAGAACTTCCATGAAGCAGAACAAAGTATTAAATGCACAGCACTGTCTTCTCAGTGTTAGAATGGTCCTCCATTCCTACTGCCAGAGTATCAATCACATTTTATTCATCTTTAGTGCACAGGAATATAAAGTATTGAAGGTCAAATATACCTTCCTACAAATGCAGAAAAACCAAACTCACAAAGATCTACTGTAATTTCTCTCTTCTGTAAAAAAGGGCACAGGAATAAATTAGGATTTGTATTACAGGCTCTTACACTACTTGATTTATGCATGTGCAAACCATTTCCATTAAAAATTTCCCTATTTTTGCCACCAGGTGGAATACTTTGAGAAGTGATTGTCTGGAAAAGAAGGAAAGACAAAACATGGAAGGGAGATCTAAGGTGAGGAAAAGAAAACTGCAGAGCAACTTGTCTTCATGCAACAGATGAAGCTTGATCACTGCTCCCTTCAGCATTAAGCTAAACACAAGGGGGATATACAAGACAAGAATAGCAGGAGCCTGAGGACCTCTAGGTTATAGACTTGCAAACAAGAATGATAGAACGGGCTTAGCCAACTTTACTGAGTGTGCAAACACTGATGAAGAACAAGAGTTGAAGACTTTGGAGTAAAAGATAGTTTAGTTTTATTGAAAAAAAAAAATTAAATAGATGGTGTGTGTCAGGAAGAGGGAAAAATATGTAGATTTTCTGTAGATTCTCTCAGTCTGCCCACTTAAGAGAAGAAAAAAAACCTCATAAAACATAACTCATGTAACAAGATAATTTTAAATGGCAGTTTTAACTCACTGGAAGTTGCACTAGTTTAAGCATGAGGGATTGCCCCTTAATTACAAAAAAATAACTTTTAAAAACAGCTTTTCTATTTAAAAAATGAAGCCTTCTTTCGGGCAGCTGTAAGTAAGCAAGTTATAAAGAATAAGGCCAAAAAATAATTTTATTAAATGCCAAAAAATTCTGTTATATAACAGCACCATTGCCAAAACAAGAAGCACCACAGATCTACAAAGCACAGCAAGTTCAAAACTAATTGCAGCAGCAGAAACTTCTTATACAAATATCATTACAACAAATGTCATCTACAAATGCAAGAAATACTACATGTGAGTTTATCCTTCACAAGAACTAGAATACCCAAACAGTAAAATAATAGCTGTAATACAGAGACAAACTAAATACAGTTCTAAATTCTGGCTACTTCTGGATGTTACTGCCCCAAAAACTCTGAGTGCTCTAAGAGTACAGAGCTTCTACACCTGCAGTAGGTACAAACAGACAATAAGAGCACCTGACCATTTATACACATTACAGTAACTGCTTAAGCCTGCAGCATTTCTGTTTATCTTTGTACTTCCAATTAACAGATCACTCAGCTGCTAATCAATATTTACACATTCAGTTCTAATAAGAAAGTTGCAAATTAAATGATACCAATGTTAAAACATTACCTTTTGTGATATGAATTATTTTAGGAGAGACAAAGTAAACACTACAATTTCTTTTCTTTCTGAAGGAATATGGTCTGACTTTGATTTTTGGCATAGAAATAACAGGCTTCTACAAACTTGTAACACTGTTTCACACCTTCAATTATTTCTGGGCATGGAACATAAGAAAGTTACTTTTGTCAAAACCTGAAGAGCCCTAAAGGTCAACTTATCTAATTCCAACCTTAATAACAAAGCATTCTCTCAACAAAAATCAAACCTCTGGTATCAGCTGTACTGTCTGTAAAATAAAGCTAGCAAACTACATTAACAAGAGTCATTGGGGAAGTTTCCACATCATAAATATGGCAGGGAATTGAGAAAACACAGGCAAAGAAAGAAGGTCCAGGAACTTCAGCAATAATCTATCATTCATGTAACCTCTGCTGGGTACCCGGCCACTTTGAAGCAATGCTCTTTAATGGGGAAATTATCTGAACCACAAATTAGGAGGACAGGCACTAATCTGAACCAACTTTACCACACAAATACAGAAACAGGAAGGAGCTCATGCAATGGTGACAAGAGAAACACATAAAGGCTTCCTGTAGCAAGTATTGGAAGGCTACCACTACACATACCACAAGATCCATTCAAGCGCCTGCTTTTCAAACTCGCTCTCATCAGCATCCCACATCTTTGTAACAGAATATGACAGCTCCCTTCTTCACATAGTTCAGCCAATTATTATCTCAAGTTTGGATATTAAATAGAATCACAGAATAGTTTGGCTTGGAAGGGACCTTTAGAGGTCATCTAGTTCAACTCCTCTGCAATGAGCACAGACACCTTCCCCTACATCAGGCTGCCCAGAGACCCATCCAACCTGACCCTGAACATTTCAAAAGATGGGACATCTACCATCTCTCTTGGCAATTGTTAGTTTCACCACCTACATCATAAAAATTTCCTTACTTACATGTAGTTCTAATCTATATCCTTTTAGTTGGAAACCATTAGCCTTGTCCAATTACAACAGGAACTGATAATATGTTTGTCCATACCTTTCTTATAAGCTCCCTTTAAGTACCGAAAGGTCACAATAAGGTCTCCCTGCACCTTTCTCTCCCCCAGGCAGAACAGCCCCAACTCTCAGCCTTTCCTCATAAGGAGGGTTGCTCCACTGTGCAAATAATTTTTGTGATACTCCTCTAGACTTGTTTCAACAACACCATGTCCTCCTTGTGTTGGGACCCCAGAGCTGATGCAGCCCTGCAGGTGGGGTCTGAGCAGAGCAGAGGAGCAGAATCCCCTCCCTGGCCCTGCTGCCCACCTGTGGATGCAGCCCGGAACACATTTGAGCTTTCTGTGGGTGTGGGAGCACACTAACAGCTCATGCCCAGCCTCTCATCCACCAGCACCCTCAAGTCCTTCTCAGCAGGGCTGCTCTCCATCTGTTCATCCCCAGCCTGTGTTGGCACCAGGGGATGCCCAACCCAGGTGCAGTACCTTTTACTTGGCATTGTTGAACCTTAGGAGGTTCACATTGTCCCACTTCTCGAGCTTGTCCAGGTCCTTGGCATCAGCAGCAGGCTGAGTTTATCTGTATTTTACCAGACTTGCTTCAGAATGATTAAACATGGCCAAAGGAAAGGGAAGAACACACACTAAAGAATTACACACTGATTATTCTTTGCCAAGGGAGCAACTGATGTTTTAATAACAAATGTTGCTAATGGTTTATGAGGATATATGCCACAGCTCACAAAATACTATTTATAGAAAAATATTCTACAGCAATTTATTTATTAAATCATTTATCAAAGCCAATGAAGAGTACAGTTATTGAAATTTTAAGAAACAACAAACATTGATGTGCACTTAATAAAAGCATGTACTTCATTAGGGAATTATATTTTTATTGCATTCTTTCACCTTTAAGGACTTGAAAAAGTATGTCTACATTTTCTTGTAGTACCTAACTTCAACCCTTCATAATTTATGGGACTATTACACTGTCACCACAATAACCTTTGAACCTCTCCTCAAACAAATACAGTCCATGAAACATGCACAAAACCTGGCTGTAAGCTTAATAATCTAAAACTTGCTATTACTGTACTTCAGCCATCCTTTGCAAATATTAGTTATGGC